GGTATTTCCGGGAAACGATTACATGTTTACCTTGAGAGTCCCATTCGAAACCAAAGAAAACGAATTCATTTGGCTGAACTTAAATGTTGCTCATGATGGCTGATAAGGCATACTTGAGTATGGGAGTTCGTTCTAGAAAAAACCGGGGGCACTATCGTGTTTTCCACGGAAGTTAACTTGAGAAGTGGACCGCGTTAAGCAGAAAGGAACCAAGCCACATTAGCTATTGCCAAATTTAATTGGGAAATTAAAATTTTTTACATGAAAACGGTTGTGCGGATATTTGTGAAAATTTCAGTGAATTTTCTGCATAATACGAATCAAATTCCTTGAAATGTTCGACAAAATTCGCAAATTCTCTTGTAATGAATGCAACTTCCCCATTAAATGTGGCAATAGTTGATGTGGCTTGCTTCTTTTCTGCTGAACACGATCCACTCACAAAACGAAAATTAATGAAAGTAGGGACAAAGATATTGACTTTTCCGCATGCATAATTTCTGCATTAATGCTTTAATTCCTAAGTAAATTTCCTTCATCTTGGTAGGTATATAGGTAATTTGAGCGCCGGAATATTAAAATGGTTGTGTTCTGAGCTTCTACCCATACTTCAGCAAGATCACTGCAGGTACAGAGTAAAACATACACGAAGCGATCGAGACACTTAACCATGTTTTGCGGTACGGAATTATTATTTCTTCATCATTTTAGATACAGCGTTTAGATGCTATTAACTTTAGTAGCCATTAATTTTAGAATTCCATGTAGATCGGATATGACGGGCTAGGAAAAAATTGATTCAGCAATCCTAAACTAATTTGCAGAAGCTTGCACAGCGGAGTCCTCACCTCAACATTCTTCAGTCATCAGTAGGGGATCGTATTTGGATGCAGTTTTGCTAAAAGAAACCATGTGCATAGAGTTTGTGTGCAACATAGTATTCCTTTTAGCATAAACACGTCCACTCGGTTTTACGCTCAACAAGTTGCTTATCAGCCGCCATCATTTTGCAAAAAATAGCGTTGACATCCGAATTTATTTTTGACGTAACTGGATTACATTGCTGAGATTGTCAGTGCGGGGACTCTAAAATGGACCGAGTTAAGCAGAAAGGAACCAAGCCACATCAGCTATTGCCAAATTTGATTGGGAAATCTTATATTTTACATGAAAATGATTGGGTGGATTTTGGTGCAAATTTCAGTGGATTTTTTACAGAGTACGAAGCAAAATCCTTAAAATTTTCAAGGGAATCCGCACAAACGTTCCTTGTAAAAACTTACATCGCCCAGTTGAATTTGGCGATGGCTGAGGTGTCAGGGTTCCTTTCTGCTAAACGCGATCCAAATATACTGTTTGGTTCTCCTTACGTTTGAAACTGTGAGTTCGAAAACGCACCAACTCGGAAAAAAATTTGTTCAGGAAACACCTAAAACTGCGCAGTGGGCGAAGAATTTAGTTTAAGAAAAACCTTTTTGATGTCAAAGAACAAGTACTTAGAGACTTTGTAAAGCACCTAGTCGAAATCGATACACCATGTTTGATGACAGAGAATTAAGCGTTTAAAAATTTCCGAGTTGGTGTGTTTCCGTTTTCACCGACTTTCAGATACTGCTTTTTCATAGTCTGCCCAGAAAAATTTATATTTTTCGACCTGAATAACGCTTGAAATGTACATAACTTGTCTGTACAAGGTATACTGAACCAAAAAAAGACAGCCGCAAAATTGGATGGTCACCCATTTCCCTTGAAATGGCCAAAAATTGGTATTTCCAATGAATACTTTGATTTTTCCCTTTTCCCGTCGCTGTTTTGAGCACTTACGATTGCAATCTCGAAATTTCCTTTTGCGTGCAGATACTTCTATCCATAAGAGTTACTAAACCGTAAAAAAGTGAAAATCGAAAAAACCCCGAGTTTGTGTGTTTTCGAACTCACTGATTCATTTATAGTTTACTGATTTCGTGTTTCTGGATACTTGATTATAATCAAAAGCCATGAATAGTAACAAAGCAGAGATTGTCACATAGTACACGTGCATAATGACATATATTCCGGATTACAGCATGGTGAGGGGGAGGAGGATAAAAGCTGGCGAGCATCACTCTCCTGGCAGCAGACCGTTTTTACCGCGCGCGTTAGCGAGACGAATTAGAACAAGCATCATTAGCCTGCTAAACGACGCAATTTGCCAGCGAGGAGTAGTGAGCCGCCACTCACAAAAAAATAAAAAAAAAACCGGCATCAACTCATGAATCGTTTTTAAACCTGGAGTGACCTGTCGTGACAAGAATATCAATCGTTTAATGACTCCGAAACAGGGTTGGTTCTGCCTCGTTGCCACCCTACAGTGAAAGAACGCCGTATGCACCTCCGAAAGTTGCCATATTTCAATGGATAGAAAATAAAGTTTCTAGGAAAACTGTGATTATTTTTAATTCGGTTTTTTTGCAGTGGTTTTTTGGCAATTTGATCTAAAGTACCTGCAAATGGTGAGGAAAAATACTCACGACTTAACAAAAAATAAATATTTTATCAGGAGAAATTTTTCAAGTATTCACCCGGTGTTTTTCAGTTTTTTCTCATCACGGTCACGTGCACATGTGGAGTGAGAAATTTTCAGTGACTTCACGCAGATTCCATTAGTTTAAACAATAACGAACCAGACAAATGTCTCCACCAAAAACGAATGCAGAAAAAAAATAAAATTAACTTTGCTTTATCGCACCTTGGCACAAGATTATGTTGCAGAATAGAAAAAATGTCACCCAGTGACATAAAAGCGCACTGACAACGTTTAAAAATCTCCGCCGCCATTTCATTTTTTACCGAGAAATTGTTTAACGCAGCTGTCCGAAAATTTCGCTGAATTTTATCGGCAGCATTAAAAAAATTCAGTGAAATTTTCAGACAGCTTCGTTGGACAATTTCTCTGTAAAAAATAAAATGGCGTCGAAAATTTTTAAACGTCGCATGGGGCTTGTGATTATTTAACCGGAAGGTGACGATTTATTCACTGGGAAAAAAAAAAAAAAAAACACATTGGAGCTAGAGTCCAGACTCTTAAAAACATCGAAAAGAAAAAATACTCTTGATTCAATCGGATTTTAGCTTAAATCAAGAACCAAGCCTCTTAATTTGAGCGGTTTTCTTTTTGATTTAAGCTTGAATCTGATTAAATCAAGAGTCCTTTTTCTTGTCATGTTTTCAAAAGTCTGGACTCTAGATACAATGTGTTTTTTTTTTCCCCCAGTGTATTTCAGGGTAAGCGGGGTGCTTTCGAGAGGTTGGGCCGCGAAGTGGTTATGAGGTGGAGCCCCGAGAAATAATGAAGCACTGTTAATAACCACTTGTCTGTTATTGCACTGAATCTGGTAAGGAAATCTGCATTCCCGGAATGGCATGTCATAGCGCGACTTGTTAGAGCATTCAAAAGCGCCAAGACAAGATCAAAGGCCGCGATGGAGGGAGGAGAGCGCTAATAAATAAAGGGTATTAAAAACGACGTTGGCACGCAATGAAAGTTGGAATGGAGCAATTACTGATACGGCGGAACGACGCAAAATGTGCTTCTCAAAGCCATTCGAGATAATTGAAGTAGATTAAAATAAAGGCAGAGAACAAAGTAATTGGCTATTTATTATTGAATGTTCCGGCCGTGGGGATCAGAGATAATAATTTCTGATCAGCAAACATTCAGCAGTGGCGTGGCGTGAATGATCGATTATCGATATTTCTCTATTTGAAGCTATAGTAAAGAATCGATTATTAAGGTGTACCCTGTTTATCGATCCTTCTCCATAGGTTTAAATGACAGATCTATCGATATATCGCAAAGCGCGCCACGCCACTGACATTCAGTCGCTACGGATTAGCCGGAGGCATCTCTTTTGAGTTCGACTTCATTCCGACGCGGAAAAGGTCGGGTTATAATATCTATCGAAAAATTCCTGTAATTTTTTTCCTTCTTTTCTGTGATTTCGGAATGAAATTCTCCAAGTCAAACGCGATCGCCATTTTCCTGATGAAAAACATTTGTTCGCAGTTAATTGCACATTCCGATGGAAAGAGATGTAAAATAAAGTTAAAGATTGCATTCCTGAATTTATCTTGTATTTATTTTATTAATTTTCTTTTTACTCTCTATTCATTTTTTTTCTTTTATTCTAATATTTTCAGCACGTTTGATGATTCAGCCTTGGACCGTTTTTTGGAATTGATTTCAAGTTATTAAGAAAGATGAGTTAAATTTGGTGAACTAGCAGCGAATAATGAAAATTGCTAACGGTTGAGACCATTCGACGATTGTCACGGTGACTGTAGAAACAGCCGTTTTATGCAGTTTTAAAGAGAATATATAAGAATATCGAAGCGCCTTCAATTACCTGATTATACTTCCCCACCTCCTAGGTGTTCAGATAGTTGCAGCACAGATTAATGTACAATAAAACGCTCCTCCTTAGTATGAACGGTAACAATCAAAATCAGACAAAGTACATTAGATGTTGTCTAATTTCCTTTGGGTTTAATTTTGTTGAAGGAGGCCAAGAAAACTCAGAGCATCAGAAATGTTTGAGTATATACTCCATATCAAAGGGAATTTAACAGGAATCTTCGAAGCAAAAAAATTGTTCATTTTTCTGTCAAAAAATAAAAAATCAGAGAACACTAGGTGACTTTATAATACAATTACGTTCATTTTCATTAAATTCGTCCAGTTGGCAGTTCTTTCACATCGCAATGAATGTAGTTATCTCAATGATTTACCTAATTATGCAACTGATTTGTTTTTCAGAATTAAGCCTTCTTTTGGTGCGCTGAATTCCAATTATTTATACAGCCCCAATTTTAGGACTTTAGGAAATGTTTGTCGGGGTGCATTTGAGGAAAAAAGAGAATGAAAGCATTCGTCTTCTTCGGGCAAGATTACTGATCGGAACACTCTCACGCTAAGAGAGACTTTAGCTCCAGAGCCACGTCATACTTTTATCACTGATAGCTTAAATTGATTGACACCGTGAGCTCATCAAAGTGGGACGTTTATCAAATTTAAAAATGGGCGTGACTACTAATCGACAAGATCAATATTCGTATACAAATTCAGTTTGAGGTTATGTGTGAGTTCTTAGATGTGATGTTGTTCCAAACAATTAACTTCGTTCATCAAAACATACATATAAGGGATTTGGAGTATCAAACAATCGGAGTTTTACTGGTAATTTTAATCTATCGATGATATAGTGTATTTTATAGTAAATATGTAATTTTACTCCTTGGCAAAAGAAGCGCAATATCCAAAAGGTTCGTTCTTAATCCCACCCTTAAAGGTGTAAATATTACCATGAGTACTATGGATTGAATTAAACATTTTCGTGAATGCCTTTCAAAATCAAATTCTACTACCACTGTAAAAGTAACGGCGATTATAGTGTAGTATTGACTAATATTTTAACTTTTTCCAGCCTTTTTATGTTTTTTAGGGCAAAGAACAGATTTTCCTCGATAGTTTCGATTAGGAGGATAGGTTCGGAGTGGGCAAAGAAATCAGGCTTGGTAGCAAAATACCATCGGTTTTGTTGTCATTACCGAAAGCAAATCAGGCGAACCTATTTGAATAGACTAGATTCGAGGCGTGGCATCACTACGTGATGCCACGCAACGCGAATGATGCAGTAATTGATTCTGAATTACCTTTAACAAGAAGCAATGTTCATTTTAATATTCTGACGGTATAACAAAAATAAGCTGATTGTTATTAGAACATACATGGATTTGTAACGAGATGTACAGACTTTTCATCACACTAATTTCCACAAACTTCCACTTAATTTTGACTTTATTCGAGTTGAAATTTGTAGGGCAATGAGAAGAATTGTTTCCTGTGGCAGACGTCACTTTCAACACCCAACTTCAAAAAAAGTTATTAGACGGTTTTAAAAATATTGACAAATTCATTTCATTAAAATCATGGAGATGGAAATTACATTAACACATGATCAATTTTTTTGGACCCCATGTAGAGCCTCCAAATAGCTACAATTTTGGCCTCTTCACCCACCGAAAAAATTCAAAAAGAGGAGCTTTCACAGCAAAATTACAACGCAAGCTATCTGGACGATCAACTCTTTCATCATGCATGTAAGTATTGAATATTGATTTGATTAAATTTCGTCGAATTATGCACGAGGAGGGATTCAAAATTTAATGAGCTTCAGCCAGAAACAATTTTCAGTTTCAACTTGATGCATCAGTAAAGCATATGATTGGAGGAGAAAAACACTGGAACAAAAAGTACCTTACAAAGGAGTGCATGATTTTTGCGACATTATAGTTTACATTGATGTGTGCACAATAATAACGCAAAGCGTATAGTACTGCCGAAAAGCAACTCATTGAATAGTGTTGAAACCATAGCTTTCAAAAATGTACCAAGATCGAATTGACGGAATTTAGCCGTCTTTTTTCCGAAAGTTCCTGAAATTAATTATGATCAAGTTCACACTTTAAGGTATTATGTGAGAGAAAACATACTTCAAGTAGCACTCATACGATTCTCGTGAAAATTAATCAATTTTTTGTTGTTTTCTTTGCAGCAAGTTTGATCAAACATCCGAATGAGACCGCAGAATGGTACAATAAAACAACCTCTCGATCCCAAAAAGGTACGGTTGCAAAAACTGAAAAGAGTCTTGGAGTGTTTTTAGATCGAAAATTATTTTCTACCAGAGTGATTCAAAATGTCAACGGAATGTTTACGCTTTGTTGACCAAGAATATATGATTTAGTCTCGTAATAGTTCAAATTTTACATGCACAAATCAGTGACATGCATATTTTCAGTTGTGATTTCACCTCATATAGCACTGAGAACTTCATTTTAGCGACATTTTAGGAAGGAAGGGCAAAAATTGTTGAAAGAAATTAAATGTGTGTGTGGTGGGGATTTCAAAACATCTACAAAATGCCCTAAATTGACTAAAATCGGTGACAACCCCTTCGAAAACGGTCAATACTAAATTGCGAGGGGATGGGGGTTGGAATCTCCCCTCCTCATTGACGCCTCTATTTGAGGTCTTTATAAAAAGTCGAGAAAGGGCCGGTCAAAATTGCAAATTTTCCTGTATTTATTATTTTTAGAAAATAATTTAGAAGGACTTCAATTCACTCTTCAGCACTATTAACTCAGTCCACTGCATGCTTACACAATTTTATTACTTACACTCACTGATAAAACTCCAAAGTTGTTTAAACCCAACTCATGCTACCAACATTTTTATTCGACTCTTATACTTAAATGCAACTCGTCAAATGCAAAGTTGCAAAGTGTGATACTGACGCGAGAAAACGAGGATTTGATGAAAAATTCAACGGAAACTTCAATGTGACGTCACATTCAACTTTTTGTTGGTTGGCGGGAAACCAATTGGAGCCGCTAACTGGATGAAAACTTGAACATAGAGTAATTGAATCATATTTTTTTCCGTTCAACTTTCCATGCAACTTTTCGTTCAATTATGTCGGATGAATATATTGATAGTGTAAATTGGGCTCCAAGCCCATACAAAAGAAAGAATCAATATTTTTATTCTCAGATGCCGCAGTACCATATTGGCTCTCAAAGGCACCGTCATTCTCAACGCATCTGATCAAACATGACTTCGTGCGGTTCGAGGAAGGAATGAACGACGCTCTCGTGGCAATGAACAACACGGTGAACAACGCTACTAATTGGGAGGAGCTCGACTGGTTCAAAATGATCATCGCCCTATCATTCAGCGGGGTCGGTGATTTCTGGGAGGTGACAACCGGAGACCAACCACCGAACGGGACAATATGTCATCTGATGGTGCCAAAGGGTGACGAGGAAACCAAAAAAGACTGGTTTTTCTTCTGCTACGGACTGTGTGACACGGAGAGGGGAATGCGAGAGATGGCGAAGCAAGAACTGTTGAACATGATTGCCGAGGGTTTGGGAGAAGACTTGCGCGACTATGTCCCGACAGCTCGACGTCTTTTCCGAATTTTCATCGCTTTTCACGGTCCTGCGGGTGCTGTGGAACACGAAGGCCCTGTCGAATTGCGAGAGCCCGATTACACCAGTATGCCTTCGACGGAAATCATTCAACATTCCGATTGGTGAAGTGTTTTCAATCTAGTTCATTGACACTGCAAGAAGACCGTAATTGGACGTATTTCTGTCAAACGGAACTATGTGCATTAAGTAACGAGTCTTGACACCCACTAGAATGTATGCATAACAGGGCTCACGTACTAATGCACATAGTTCCGTTTGGCAGAAATACGTCCAATTATAGTCATTCCATACATAGCTCCTTTCATATGATAGAGGCCACATACAGACGTATTTCTACTCAACAGAACAACAGAACAGTACAATGCGTTTACTATTGACATTGGTTTCAATGGCGCAATTAGAAATGATATCTAACTTTAATTTGATCTGTGTTAGGTAGGCTTCATAATATCTCAGTTAGGAGTTGATTTTCTAATATGTCGTTCTGTGCATTGTTACCGAATGAGAATCTGAGGAGAAATGTGTGACGTTTTCCCCGATGAGTCTGAATTAAATAACGTCATGACTTCATCAAAATGGGACTGTTATCATATAAAAATGGGAGTGATTTCTAATCGACAAGATCAATCTTTGTCTATATAATTGATACCGCAAGCTTATCAAAAAAGGATATTATCAAATTTAAAAATGGGCGTAATCACTAATTGACAAGATCAATCTCTGTCTACCTTATTCAGTTTGAAATAATGTATTTTCTCTTTGATGCAATGTTGTTCTCAGCAGCCAAAGTTTCTCAGTTTATTAGTATAGAGGAGTTAAAGTACAAGCGGGATCGTTATTCCTGCGAAAAATAGTTTTCCGTAACCCGCCTTACACTTTAGTGCACCGCTATAGTGGCCACAGAATAATAGCTCTCGCACCGACTCTACATTCACGACTTATCAGTTATCAGCGATTGGGAATCCCACGTTTATTTTCTCGCTCTTTTCCTCTTTCCCCTACTGTCATCGTTGTCTCCACGGTCAGGCCAGTCGGTGATAGCTGTATGCCTTCGAGGCTTCCCTCCGGTTCCATATCTTTTCCCCATTCTTCACCACACCGCAATCGGTGGCGAGGCGTGATTAATCGATTATCGATATTTCTCCATCTGAAGCCATGGTAAAGAATCGATTATTGAGGTGTAAACACCCTGTCTATCGATCTTTTTCCATAGATTTATATGGTAGATCAATCGATATATCATAAAGCACGTCACGCCACTGACTGTAACAGTGTTGAGAGGTGTAGTGAGCCACAACGTGGACATATTGGATGAGAAATGGATCCCTTGAAAATAAAAGTTAGGTTCATGCTTAAGCGCCCGCAGTAGGTCATCTACAGCCAAGGCCAAGCCATCAAATATTAATAGCATGTGACTAGATTTTTTTTAGCTGTAACTCAACATTTTCGCTCCTATTTTATTTTTTAAATAAATATTACAATGAAGGATGGGTGCCAGTAAAGTCTGATTTGAAGTAACTTTAGCTGCTGAATCCGAAAATGGCCTTGATTTTAAATATTATGCACCGTTTTCCCAAGAAAATTGAATCAAAATTGAATTTCCCCACAAAAAACTCCATTTTTTTTAGAAACCCCATTTTGTGGGAAGATAATGGGTCAACGCAAAAAAACTAAGGTCAATTTTGAACTCAGCAATACAAATTACACAGAAGCTTGTCAACTATCTAGCCTACCATAAAATCCACCGTGTTCAGATTTTTTTCATTTTTGGAGACCTGTGTTTTTCTATGATCAGTGACTTTTAAGTGCCTACTATTCCTAAAATATGTAACTTACTGAGC